CATAGCAGTACTGAACTAAACCCTAGGTCTCCTGTCTTTCTGTCCCTTGCTATTTTTACTCTTCCATATTATCTTACTTTTGCAAACAAGTATCTGAAAATCAAAGATCTTCGTTGAAAAAAAGAGACAAATAAAAAAATCTCCTGACCACAGTATATAATAATAGGACTTATATAGCATTTCTTATAAGCTAGGCATTAAAGTACTTTACAAAGAACTCATTTAATCTTCAAAAAAACTCTATGAGTAAGCTAATCTTAATATCCTCATTTCTAAAAAAAAAAATCCTCATTTCTGCAGATGGTAAAAATTGAGACACAGAAAAGTTAAGTAACTAGACCAAGGTCACACAGTATGTGGAGAGTATAACATTCTTTATATGTGGCAACTCACAGAAAACATTTATTGAGGGCTCACAATGCTCCAGTCACTTTGCTGAGTACTATAATGCATTATCTCAGTCCATTTTTACAATTGCCCTTTGAGATAGGTAGCATTATTACTCCATCTCAAAGATGAAGAAACTGAAGTGTAGAGACATTTAGTAACTTGCCCAAGGTCATATATTTAGTAAGAGGAAAGTCAGTACTCAAATTCATATCCAACTCCAGAGCCAGGGCTCTTAGCCTCTGTGTGATACTGTCTATCAAAGAAAACACCTGCAATGTACCAGGCTTGGCTTCCTTGCTCTTCCTCTATTGCCACATTCCCTGTTGTCCCTTTCTCCTAAAGCAATTATTAGAATGGGGATATGGGCAGAGATAGAATAGGAAGTTAGCAGCATAAAGAACATAGCAGTCCCATGTTAATTAGATAACTGTCCTCCCCACTGTGAAAAAATATATATATATATGCATATATGTGTATATATATGTATATGTGTATACATGTATGTATATATTTATATATATAGTCAGAATACCTGACATCATACATCATAATATTCTTTGCATTTGACCCCTTTTTTTAGCTTTTGCTATAGCTAAGAGATGACAACTTTATTTTCAATTCATGTTGTATGATAAACTTAAGAGTGACAATTAACAGATCAGTAATCTGCAGATGACTAGATCTGATAACTTTTCAAAAGAAACTGGAATTCCAGATTTTTATTATTAAAAAACAATCTCCTAAATTATAAATATTTGAAAGGAATTCAATTTTTTTGAAAGCTCTGCTGTGCCCACTAACATTGTGCAGGCCAAACAAAGAAACAAACAAACAACACACCCCACATCTGTAGGCTTTTCACTTGTAGCCTGCTTCATAGTGGGTTTAGATGCATAAAACCGTAAGAGGGAAGGTTAGATGAGAAGGCTGGCAGGAATTTGGATCTTGGTAGAATATTTATTTTTTAAAAATGAGCTTTGGTAAGAATAATTTTCTTGGTGTAGGTGGGTGATTAAGGAGGTAGAATGGGGGTGAAAACCAAAGTTGCCTTTTGGGGAGCAGGTCCTCTTATTTCTCCTTAGGAGCAGTACTGGTCTTGGCCATAGGAAAAAAATAGCAGGAATCAAATTAACAGCTCTAAGGGAGCAATCAATTTACAATTGTGTGAAGTGCGAATTCCTTTGTGCAAGAAACAAATTACAGTATTTGCAAATTTGTAAATAATGCAGCACTTTCCCTGCAATCCAAATGCTTTGGGTGTCCCCAGGAGAAAGAAAAAGAAGTCTGAGGAAGCAAAATGTTAAAAAATGACCTATTGTTCCAAGAAATGGAATTTAAAAAATATCTTTAGTAATTGATTTTTTCAAATGAATCCTTATTTAGGAACTACAGAGAGGCCCAGTTCTTAGGTCAATAGAATGAAAGTACCTAGAGAAGTAAACAACTTCAAGTCCAAAGTAACAGCATATTATTAACAGGGTAACTTCTTTCAAAAGCATTATACAGAAAAAATTTCCCTCAATCCTCCCCACACTCCTGACTTGTGGCAAGAACTTTCATTGTATAAAAAAGATAGCAAGTCCCAAGTCATAATAGTCACTATGTTCAATGTCAGAGAAGGAATTGGTGACAGATAAGGACATGAACCCAATCTCCCTGCTCTGAAGCAGTGGGCTTTTTGAACAATTCAATTCACCAATATTTATTGGGGCCCTTTTTGTTTGTTTGTTTTATTTTTGTTTTGTTTTGTTTCATTTTTTTTGAGACAGAGTCTCACTCTGTCCCCCTGGCTAGAGTGCAATGGAGTCATTGTAGCTCACTGCAACCTCAAACTCCTGAGCTCAAACCATTCTCCCAACTGGGCCTCACAGAGTGCTAGGATTACAGGTATGAGTCATGGTCCCTGGCCTGGGACCCTTTTTTATAAAGAGTTAAACTCATTGCTTTCTCTAAGATTTTCAGTGCATTTTGCTGAGCTGTGGGTTGAGCTAGGAGTCAAGGAGACAAAGAAAATGTAACTCTACCCTTCCCTTCAAGGGGTTTGAAGTCTAATGAAAAAACAACTTAAAACAACCATGTCAGTAGTGAGCTTGATGGTAAAGAAGCGGTATAGAAGGTACTACAGTAGCTTGGAGTCTATCAGGAAAACTTTCAAAGGAGAAAAAAATGGCAGAAAGAGGCAGAAGGGATTAGAGGTAGAGGTAAATTGAATATTGATAGGCCATATGCACAAGAATGACAGACCAGATTTGTGCTTTCAAAGGATTGCTCTCACCTGTGCTCTTATTCAGACCTTTCCACAAAATATTTTAGTAAGTTGCACCCAGAGCCTTAAGATATATTCCTACCATTTTAATCAGAAATTCCATGTCTAGGAATCAGAGATGCTGCCAGAAATTTAAGTATGAGGAAGTTTATCACAGCATCATTACAACAATGAAAAACCAGAAACAGCCTACATGTTCAACAATGGACTAATGGTTAAATAAATTATGATACATCCAAGTATTGTGATTCTATGTATTCCTTGCAAAAAAAATCATATTTTAAAAGAACAAGTAAAAGTGATTATGATCTAACAGAGTTTTAAAATGTAAAATATTTAATAAAGTATCATCCAAATTTTTTAATAAAAAATTAAAAAGTAGTTCTCAACATTGATTATAATTTTCACCTATATCCTACTTTTCTAAAGCTCTTTCTTCCTTGTTTTAGACATAGCAGATAACAATAGGGGAGGACTCTCTCCTAGTTCTGTGTGAAATCAAAAAATACCTGGCTTTTGTTTCTCTCCTTTTTAACTTTCTGTGTGAGCCTGGATGTGCAAACCACTTACTCTCTAAATCACATTCTCCTCAGGGTATACAGATTATCTAAGAAAGGAAGGAAGGCCAGGTGAAAAATGAAAGAGAAAGGAGGGGGTCCAGAAGCTGGACTTGACCATGAGGGAGAAGAACAAGCACAATGGGAGTCAGGGTGTAAGGACCAAAAAGGGTGGTGGTTGTGTGTTGAGAATGACTTATTGGCATTGAGTGGTTCAATGATGGAACATGAAAACATATATAATGGTTCAAATAAGGAATGTCACAGTGCACTACATGATTAACTGTCAAATAAATGACACTATAGACAATAAATATTATAAAAGTTTGGAGGAATTTGGTAGAGAGAACCATCATATGACCCATGTATCACTGATGACATTAATTCTCTAAAACCCCCTTAGCAATCTTTGTTACAGGGTGTAATTGTATAGGGCTGAACTCTCTTGGCTTTCCTTTCCGGGGGATTTAGTTACTGAAGAACTTAAAGGACCTTGTTGCAAAAGGATTTTAGCTGTTAAGTGAAAAAAGAATAGAAAAGGTTATAAGAAGAATGTGTTAGAAAACAATATGAAGTTAAAATACTATTTGAGAAAATTCAATCTGCTCAAAAATGCACTTCATCCTTCAATTTCTCCTTTCCTTTAAAATGTACTCACATAAAATCTGTTTTAAAAAACAGAACCAGCCAGGAACATAGCCCAAGAAATTTACCACTAAATGGGGACACATATGTGTTTCAGTTCTTAGAAAAACTGTGCCTTGCTGACTTTCTCTCTGGATTTCTTGGTTCTCTGCATTGAAGGGCATGTGGTAATTCCTTCCTCTGCTGAATTTTCTTGGTTTTACAGTTCCTTCTGATGCTTAAGCACCTTTCCAACACCATAGCTATTCTAGGTTTCGTAAGTCTACACCGCATCCAGCGACCTTTAGCTATCACTAACTAAACAGATTTAACCACATAACTTGAATCCTTTTGGGGTTTTCCAGTCTATGTTAATCTATTTCAACCTGAAGCAGGCAGATTTCAATTTCCTTTGTTCCTGTGTAGACTTGGTTTATACTTGTTGGTCTCTAAAAGGGGCAGAGAGAAGACAGCTGTTGAGAAATGAGGAGACTGGCAGATTTAACCGCACAGTTTGGTCTAATAGCTTTGATATGCTAAACTTGCTAGCTCCTCCAAGTGTACCTTTCTGATTTTGCATCACAACACCACACTGAATCCCTAAGGAAACCAGGGTGGTTTTTTTTTTTTAAATTAAAAAGGAAAGAAATGCAAAGCAGTGAAACCCTTCTTTTAAATCTTCTTCACAGATTTATTTCATTCTGCGAACTGCAGGCCTTCACCAATCCTGGTGCACTGAGGACCTTTAAAAAAGGAAGAAGCCGAGAATACTAATCGGGTTCTAAAAATCGAAAACAGGTGATGTCATAACGCACAGTCCTGTGGTCACGGCCAAGGCCGGGTGGGGAGCGAGCGCGGCGCTCCGTGCCAGCGCGCGAGGCAAGTTGTCTCCGGGCCCGGCGGACGCCGGTGAGGACCGGGCACCAATCAGGCTCTCGCTCTGCGCTCGCCTTTGTTCTCGCTCGGGAGCAGGTTTCGGGCGTCTCACGTCGGGAACCTGCGGCCGACCGAGCCGAGCCGCACGCGCACTGCCGGCCCCTCCGGGAGACCCGACCCCCACCCCCACTCCCGCCCGCCGGTCTGCCCACACCCGGGCGGCGGCGCCTCCCCCAATCACATCTGCCTTCTCTCCCCAGAAGGCGGACGCCAAATCCCTGACTCACCATTTTTAGCTTTGGAAGAGGCAGGTCTGGCCTAATAGTTTTCAACGGCAATCTGTTCCCTGAACCTTCCTTCCCAAGCAGGGCTCCGTGCTCTGCGTGCTTCCAAGCAGCTGCCTCAGGAAGCACTTTTGGGTGAGAGGACAAACCCCTCTGGCCCTTTTGTGCTGGGTACATTTTAAAGCAACTTTCATCCCTGAGAGGACTGAGAGAAGGTGCTTCGGATAGAGGAGGAAACCGCTAAACCGGAGGTTTTGTGCTACCCCCCCCCCGGCCCCCCAGGAATTCTACAAATATACCTCAGACATTTCACCTCCTACCCTTCCCAAGCCTCAGGGAACTGGTGTTTCCGCAAAACAAGGCTCACAATAAATGATGCATAAAGTTCTTTGAGATCCCTGTATGCAAACTGCTACATGACTGCAGTGTTCTTTACAGCTAAACTTAGACTGTGGCCGAGAGAAAGCTTAAGCACTGGCCGACGGAAGGATTGTTTAACCTGCCCCTCTGTCCCTCTTTCTCAAGGGATGAGGAAAATGTTCACCTCAGTCTTACACTCTAGTGAGCCATAGCTCCCAGCTATTTACCTCACTCTCCCCACCATTTCAGCAGGGACCTAGAGGAGGGGGCGTGGCTTGCACTGGGGGTGGGGCTAAGCATCATATATTTGCATGCGACACACCCTCCTTTTCTTATTGGTGGAGCAGAGCAAACCGTATTCCCTCCCACTCCATTACCTAACTAACCCGCCATCTCCCTTCAGTTCGGAGCCTCGGAGATAAACTTAACTTGCCCGGAGATTCAAGGCGTCCTAGGCCCCTGCGATTGGCCGGCGCGGCTCCCAGCCGGCCTCTAGGAGCTCATTGGCTGCGGGCTCTCGCCCTGGGGGCGTGGCCGGAGCTGTCCGATTGGCGGGAGGGGGCGGTCCCAGAGCGTGGAGGTGGTGAAGGTGGTGGGGCGGCGGGGGCGGGGCCGCACTGAGGCGCTGCGGCGGCTGCGGCGGCGGCGGCAGCAGCGGTGGCGGCTGCTCTTCCTAGCCTGGCGGGGGCGGGGGTCTGGAGGATGGGGGCGGGTGGAACAACGGGCCGGTGAGGAGCAGCCGCCGCCGTCTCCGCCGTCGCTTGGGCAGCCGCCGCGGTGGTCGCCTCGGGCAGCGCCGCTCGCTCTCGGGCCGTCGCCTCTCATCCCGACATCCCGCCCTGAGGAGGCTGAGGCTGAATCGCGGCTGGCGGCGGGGGGACTGTCCGGCCCCGCAGCGGCGCGGCCGGCGGCAGTGACAGCCCGGACCCGGCCCGCCGTCCGCTCTCGCCCTCGGCGCCCGCCCGTAGCCACGATGAACCGGGGCGGCAGCAACGCGTCGGCCGCCGCCAACTACCTGCTCTGTACCAACTGCCGGAAAGTGCTGCGGAAGGTACGGGCTCGGCCTGGGGTCCGGCCCGAGAGGGGCGCTTCCTGCCCGCCGGGGCGCGGGTGTCGGCCCCCGGCCAACCCACGGGGAGCGAGGCTCAGTGGGATCCCCGGGCTCCGTCCCTCCGCGGAGACCGAGAAAGGGGGCGTGGGTTGAGGGAGGAGGGTTTGGACCGCTGCTGCTTTTGATCTCCACCGGGACAGACGCTAGTACCGAAGGGTTGGGATTTTTTTTTTTAATTTTTTTTTTTAATGCCTGTGGTCTGTTATCCCGCTCGTCTCCCCTACCTTGCTACTCCAGGTCTGCTCCTTGGGCGGAGGGAGGGAGGGACCGCTCGACCCTTCTCCCTGTGCAGCTGAGCTGTCGATGGAGGTCAGTGTGAAATCGGAGCAGCCTGGTCTGGGCTCGAGGAGCCCGGCTCCGCTGCGCTGAGGCTAACTCTTGCGGGCGCTGTTTTTGTTGATTCGGTCGCTTTCTGCCCTGCCCAGCACCCCCTGTTCACATTCTGTTGGTGGGCGTCCTGTGTGTGTAGTTCAGCCATGAAAGGAACTAGTAGAGCATCTTGAACTTTATGCCCATGGGAAATGCTATTCGACCTTGCAGTTCCTCAAGCCGAGGTTGGGGGAGGAGGAGACTGGGGTGGACGTGGGTTATCCCTCCTTAGCACCCCCACCCCGTGTTGATCCAGAGATATCAGACGCACCACCAGTTTATTGCTGCTCCCCAGAGTGACTGATAGAAAGTTTACTCCTGTATTGTTTAGCTTACTTGGCTTAATCTCTCCGTGGGGTGGGGGTGCGGGGTTCTGGGGAAGGGGATGAAAAAAATGTCTCTATAGACCGAGAAGAGTTTTTAATCAGATTTTAACAGCCGCTCCTGAGTAACATTATAATCAATTTATTCTTATCCAAGCTCTGTTTTTACATTTCATGAAGTGAGATGCTTCTGTTTGTCCAGTACAAATGAATTAAAATTGCTGAGCTGTGCAAATGCATCGAGACTGAAAGAGCGAGATGAATATGGTACCGTTTTTAGTCAATTTCTCTAAATACGGTTCACTTTAGGATTGGTCTTTATATATTAAAAAAAAAAAAAGGAAGGAAAAAAAGCACATAAGTAAGCAAGCTCAAATATTTGCGCTCTTTGTCCAAAAACTGTTTTTCTTCCTCTGTGGGTCAGGCCAAGTGCCAATCAAAGTTGTTTTTCAAGCCTCTTTTCCCTGCAGTAGGGCTGCTGCTTTTTTTTCCTTCCTATTTTATTTGAGAGCGTGAGGGGAGCAAAGGGATTGCAGATTTGAAGTTAATCGAACGGTTAAATATGCCTTAAATTGTGTTTATTGGATATGTTTCTCTTGAAACAGATTTTTATTAAATGTGCATGTTGAGTATGTGCAGTTATTTTTTTCCATAAACTCTGGGATCAAATTACAGTTGATACTTGCTCAGCTCATTGTAGGGCAGCTTGTGAGAAATGTAATGGATCAGAAGTGCAGATCTGCTTGGTTGAATGTTAACCCTTTCACTGCAGGGCCATCTGAACTTAGCTTCTTAAAAAATATTATTTCCTAACTTTAAAAGTGATGTTACGTCTTTGAAATGAAAAAAATGTTCTGTTTGAGACATATTTGATTAAATTCAAGCCTGGTTAAAATGACAGCAAGTTATGTTTTTTAATTGTATAAGAGAAAAAAAGCACTATGTTGACTTTGATAAATATTTTTAATGCTCTGGCAATTTATTAAGCCAATAAAATGTTTGGAGATGATATTAGGCTTCAAAGTATATTTTATTTTATTTTTTTTGAGAGAGAACTACTTTGCTAGCATTTGAGACATCTTTACATCTTTCCTTTAGCTTTTGAGAAACTATTCCTGTTTAACTAGAAAGAACATCCTCATTTCTAGCCTTTATTAAAAGAAAGAAGTTTGTGGAAAATAAGTATTCACCTTTTCATATTTTATAATTACTGTGCACATCTCTGCCAATATTCCACTTTTTAGTAACTCCAAGGTATTTAATATTGATTCATGCAGTAGCATGAAATAACTTAGATGGAAATGGGATTGTTTCAGCCAGTTATGACATGACTTGGAACATTTGTAGCTTTTTAAGAGTGCCATTCTTAAGTGCTCTTAAAAGAAATAAGCATCTACCATTTTAAATTCTTCCTCATTCTAAATATAGCATGTAAGAATGTATTTCTAATAAAGACATGTTTTTCTTATTAATAGAAAGAATTTAAGTAAAATTCATCTATAACTCTCAAAATGTGATTCTTTGACTTTATCTTGTTTTTTCTGTTTAATAAAATGTTTAGTAATAGCCAAGTGAATCATAGTACTTTGAATTTTAGTTTGGTATAGTTCATAAAGGAAGAATGAAACTCATGTGCATCCAGTATGAATTACTCTTTGCTATTATAACCCTCATCAATGATGGGGGAAGGGTCACCTTTATATGTGGCAGAAAGCCTCTTTCTCTCAATAAGTAGCTTAATTTGTTGCAATGTGTTGAATTTTAGAGGAACTTCAAAAGGAACTTAATTCATCTTCTAATGAAATAATTTGGTTTAACCCAATATCTGAATTTTGAATTGTGTATTGTATGAGAATCACATTTATTTTTAGAAGTGCCTTTACAATTCTGATTCAGTGGCTTCCAAAATAAATATTGAATATACCTAATTTGGGAGTCTTAGGTCAGTAAAAACCTAAGAATGGAGAGAGAAACCTTATCTAGAAACAAAGGAGCAAACAAAACTATCCTCCAATCCATAACTCCTGTTAAGCCTAACTTGCTCTGTTATCAATGAGGTAATTCAATAAAGTTTTTAATAAAAGAGAAAGTGCTTCTATTTACTTTGTAAAGTTAATGAGTTTTGAAGTATAATACATTTTACTTGAAGAAATTCCAGTGACAACTAGATGATGTGATCCTTTTAATTTGAAAAGTGGAGTGCCAAACTTCATTGAGGAAGGTAGGTAACTGTCCACTCATCTTCCAGTAGATAAAAAGTGGCAAATTACAATGTACTTTGAGTATTGAGTAGTCAGTACCACTTAAGTGAATAGAACTCTGCACTGCAAGTTAGAGAATCTAAGGTATAAAAATTCTTAATATGTTTAGTTTCTTATATAATCATATTTTGACAACTTTTTGTTGGTTTTATAAGCATAGACACTGCCAAATTAAAATGAAAAATATTAGGTTTAACCATGTGAGCCTCATTTTTGTAGTCAGTATTCTCAGATAATAGCAATTTTATATGGTTTAGCCAATAGAATGGATTCACTTTATGGACTAGTAGAGTAAATTCATGATGGCAAACCTTTATGCAGTGGTTTTCAAACTGCTTTCTGTGGTGCCCTAAGATGCTTCAAGGTTTTAAAATTCTTGAGTTGCATTAAATTTTTAAGTACTTAAATTATTTTTAAATTATAATTTCAAAGTACAGCTACCCCCAAATGAGCAATATATAATTTTGATACATTGGAGCCTACCACTATTATCTTTTGTGACAAGATTATTCTTGTGCAGGCCTTGAATTACAACTTGCTCTGCTATCTTTGTACATGTTTGAATTTTTTTGTTACTATGTCATTGAAGAGAAAGATTGTCATTGATTATGAAGGCACTCATGTTTAATTTTTACTTGTGAGAATACAATAATTATTACTTTATAACTAAAATATGTAGTAAAGTTGTTGCTTGGCATATTTATATGCCTTTAAGTTCAGGTTCAATATAAGATTTCATTTGTAAAAGGGACTCTGCTGCTTCCCCCAACTCACTACCATTAAATAAATAAAAAAAATATAACTAATGTAGTGATACTGAAAGCCACAAGATGTGCTTACAAGTCTTTGATAGGTCTTTTAATTTTGAAGTCTAGTTTTATCTGTAAAATGTAGATAATTTCTACATACCTTGCAAATTGCTGCATAGTTTGAGAGAGATGTGTGTTAAAATACTTTGTAAACCATGAAGTATAACTGTAAGAAAAGGAAAAACCTATATATACATATTTCCCTTTTTTCCAGAATACCTTAGTTTTTTTTGTGTTAAAGGAATATGTTTTAATATGTACTGAGTAATTTGGTTAATAACCACTTGTCTGTCCTGTCTAATTATTGCCTATAAATGAGAGGTAAAGATTATGCTTTTAGTTTGAATGATCTTTTTACTTATTTTTGATTTCATATTTCTATCTGTATTCTTCTATTCTTCTGATCTCCTTCACTTAAATGATAATTCAGTGCATTGCTTTTGGATTTTCAAACAATTAATTTGTCTCATTAATACTTTAGCAGATAAGGGAATTGATATTTGGTTTGAAAAGACTAAGAATTAAGGATGATTGTGCTTAATAAAGGTAGGGTTGAATCTAGGGTAAACAAAGAATTTTTAATTAGTTTAGGATAAGAGTTATGGAAGGAAAAGTCTCTTAATTTTTTCTCCCTATCTCTTCATCCTTTTCATTTTTTCTTTTGAAGGGATTAGG